ATATATTTCCGAACACTGGCGGTACGTTCTTTCCCATGAGGCAAAGTCGGCACTGGGGAACAGTCGTTCCCAGGTCATGCGTTGGATTTGGGCGGAGTCTTCCACCATCTCCCGGACGAGCTCTTGTTTCTCTTGCTCGGCCTTGTCCGAGAGCTCTTGGGTAAGACTCTTCTCCTGGTTCACCAGGCGTTCTTTTACGTTAGCCAAAGATTTCTCCATGGCTTCGTAAGAGTGCATTTTTTGGCGAAGGGGTTTCAGCTCGGTTTTAAGTTTGGTGACGGTCCCCTCCAGCTCGTCAACCTTCTTTTGGGCCGTCTCTAGCTGAGCCCGAACAGCGGCGGTCGCCTGCGCCTGATAATAAAGAAGATCAAGGGTCAGTACTTCATTTTGGGCAATTTGAAACATTGCCTTATCACAGCTGGAGGCGGCCATAGCCTTTGCGGCCTTTACCTCTTTGTTTTTCCGATCAATCGGCTTGCGAAGGCTGTTGACTCGGAGCAGGGCCTAAGTACAAAGAAAAACAGGCGTCAGTTTCCAATCAAAAGAGTTAACAGGCGTCCTGGAACTCAAAAGCTCAAAAAGGTGCTAAGTATACCTCAGCTAGGATCCCCGAAATTCCATCGAGGTCAAGGGTGCCGGCACCCTTGACCGCCTCCCTGTCAGATGGAGGAACTATTTTAACCATTGACTTGGCTACCTCAACCAAGTCAAGTCCCTGGGGGCCGGCTGCATTAAGCGAAAGGAAAAAACAAGTTAGACCTAATCAAGAAGGAAGCAAGGGTGAGTTTTTACAAGCAAGTGTCCATACATCTAGGCGGCCCCGCCTGGGTTTTTGAAGAAGTGGCCGGCTGCTTCTCAGCCGCCACTGTTTTCCTGGAAGACCCAGGAGAGCTTGCAACAGTCGTCCTCCGGGCCTTGGGGTCCGGCTGTTGCGAGGAAGAAGCCCTTGGAGTGCCAGACTGAAAACAAAAAGAGTTAGTATATGCATAATACAACTAAAAGGAGGAGTTTTCAAAGCTTACCAAGGGTGCCTCCTTGCTGGGGGAGTCGACATACGACTGCTTCATTAGTGAGACCCGCAGCATGGCCGCCGCAGTCTTAGATGCTGTTATTTTACTCATGGCGTCGGCTGAAAGAAATAAACAGCAAAGTTAGTAAAAATTCCAAGTAAACAAGGCGTGAAAAAACAGAGTATTCGTCAGGCCGGCTACCTCTAGAGCACCGACTGCCGAGGCCACAGGCGGCCAAGAAGTACTCGTCATAGAGCCACTTGAAGCTCGGGACGCAATTTAGGGGTACTTGCTCTCGTACCCCTGAAGTAGAGTTCACCCTAGTCTCTACTTTGAAGAGTCCTTTGTCTAGGATCTCTTTTTTAGCCTTTGGGGGAACAGGCGGCATGCTGCGGCCGCCTGCGAGAAGAGGTGGATCCCTGTTCCACTTATTAAAACGTTTGTTCAGCTCCGTGTCTGAACTCTCGATAATAAGGAAGGTGTTCCGCCAATCCTTCCATTTGTTTGCCTTACCTCTCGTCATGAGGTAACCCCTATGGCTTGTCAATTGATACCAGCCGGTACCTCCCGACTTGGGGGTCCGGCTGAGATAGTTCATGTGGGCGAAAGCCTCAAAACTTGGCTCCACCCCGTTCAGTTCGCACCCGGCCACATAGCCGAGTACGTTTACCCAAGAGTTGGGGGCTAACTGCCATAACCCCAGATCATACCCATCTAAAATCCGCTGAACAGCCGGATGTAATGGGAAGCGCAGTCCAGCTTTGATGGCCGCCACATAGCAGCCAAAGCAGCCGTCACCATAGCTGGTACCAGCCGGCCAGACGACAGTATCTTCTGGATCCGGCACAAACAGTAAATACTCCGGGCCCATTTTGTGGTTAGCAATAAAGCTCGCCACGTTGTCTCGCATGGTTGCAATCCGGCCCCGGGGCACCCTGCAGTAGTAGGGGGCGTTTTCCTCTCTGTAAGAGGCGGACGGCTCTGCCCAATTATCCCCCTTCTCCACTGCATGAGAACTTCTCGCCTCTTGTAGGCGGCTATGTTTTTCTTCTGAGCCAGAAGAACTATGGTCAGAAGAGCTGGATTCGGACTCGTCCCCTGACGAGTCCGAAGAGGACGACTCCTCCCCTCTCCTAGAGGGGCCCGCCTCCTCTCCCTTAGAAGGAGCAGAAGGAAAATTAGACATGTCCACGGTTAGATGAGAAGGGAACACCTTGGTCCCTCTCTCAGCACTGTCAGCTTGACAGTCGCCTCGTTCTACATCTGGCGCCTGGTCAGATGTTTCGCTAAGGAGCACCCTTTGGGAGGAGCCGTCTGAGTTTGATATCATAGCAGTCTTTTTTGTTCTGGCCATCACGTTCTGCATAGACACAGATTCAGTCGGACTTTGTATAAAGGGCAAAGATGGGTCCAGAAAAGGGCAGGCGGCACTCCTAGTCCTAGATTCAGCCGTCCCCGGTGACCGGCTGATCACTAACTTAGGGCGTGTCGTGTGCTTCCATGGTGCCATTTCAAAAAATAAAAAGAAAATTAAGAGTAAGAGAACTGAGTTACCTGAACGGGTGACGGTTGATGAAGTCCTGGAAGTTCGGGTCAGTCGGCTTGTCAGAACAGGCGGTAGGCAGAAAAAGTCCGAAAATGTCAGAGCAAGTTCAGGGGTCCGAATGTTCTCGCAAAAGTTCTCAAATGTGAAAATGACCGAAGTCAGCACTTCCTTTTATAGGCAAAATGAGAAGGCGAAGGGTCGCTTCCAAATTCAAATTTGGGCGGGAAAATCTCTCGGCCGTCTGCAAGGTGACACCTGTAACGGGCCGTCGCCTGTCACCGTGCGACACCTGTCACAGGCGACACGTGACCAGTCGCGTGCCACCTGTGAGGGGCAAATGATTAGGGGATTTTTATCCACCAATCACCGTCTGACAAGTGGACCAACCAGGTTCCGCCACGTGTCCTTCACGAAGGCCAACAGGAGCTTGCCACGTGTCAGTCACAGATACGTCCTCCACGGACCACTTAAGACACGCCACGTGTCCACCCATGCCAAGTGGGACAACCGGCCATCAAGGCCCATTTCAGTCTAGAGGCCCGATCAGCCCTAGGTTTACCTTAAACCTAGAGAGTTGCACGCTTCCCAAGGCTATAAATACTCGATTAATCCTCATTAATCAAAAAACAACAAAAAAACAACCGAATAATTAAGAGATCAAGCAGAGAAGAACAGACTTATTAACAACCGGCTAATCTCGCTAACGACGCAGATTACCAACACTAAGCACTCTCACCTAGAGAGATCTCATTACTTTACTTTCTGTATTGATTACTCCTTAATCAGGTACTAACTTGACCGTTGGAGGCGGAGCTCTCAGGAGTCTCCGTTATTTTGCAGGTACAGACGTCCGGTTCCAGTCTCGGAATTGTAACTCTCCCGCAGGACATCAGAAAACCCCGAAACAGTAACTGTGTTGGTATTACTATTATTCGTCTTGGAATAGTTGATTCTTTGAGATTTTGAAACATAATCCCTTGAAGGCTTAGTTGAAACTGGTATAGGATGGCTTTTGTGGGTGTTAAAAGCCCCCATTTACTGAGTTTGACTGCAGGTATCGTAGCCCCCAAGTATGGGTGGCATTCGATTTTTGTGTTTTGTCATATCGGCAGCCGTTATGCTGCCGAAATGGACTAGAACACGATTATTAGTTTAGGAAAAAATGAACTAATAGAGAAATCTCGTCTAACATAGCATGGATTCGCTTCCATTTGTCGACGCTGAGGAGATTCTAGGAGGTCCTGATGAGGTAGTTCGCCCTCGAAAGAGGCTGAACCGGCATCGTGAGGAGGTTCGAGAGCGACGCACCGCTGTTGATCGACGTCGCCAGGAGGATGTGATTTGGGAGGCTCCTCTCGACTGGAACCCTAGGGTCCTTAAGTGGGATCCAGACCATCACGTCTCGGTTCGAGGGTAGCGCGGCATCCTGAGTTTCTTATGCCTTCCATTTTTTTTTTTACTTTCCCTCTTTTCCTTGAATAACCGTTTTTTATTATTTTGGCTCTCTCTCTTCTCATTTTTTTTAGAGTGAGTCTAGCATGCGTCTATACGGCTCTGGTGACTTGCGAACTCGTTTTGAGAGCTTACCTGACGAGGTAAAGGAGATTTTGGAGCTTTCAGGGATAGGTCGCGCGCTAGCGGCTCTTCGGGATTTGTCAAGTCAGTCTGCTTTGCCAGCTTTCCTCCGCGGATTGCTGGAGTTTTGGTGGGATTCCACCAACACTTTTCACTTCCCGTGGGGAGAGATGACGATCACCCCTTACGACTTCTCTATGATTATGGGTTTTCCTTTTGTAAGTGAGCCTGTAGTCATAGAGGTCGTAACAACGCAAGACTTGAGACTGAGGGATCTCGTAGGGGATCGTCTGGCGGCGATCCTTCACGTATATCCTCAGGCTTGTCCGTACAAGATTCTTGTCGATGAGTTGTCAGCTGACGAGGTTGACCGGTAGTGTACACCTGAGCAGCTGGCTCGGATATACATTGCTTACACTCTTTCCGTCACTCTCTTGAGTGATCAGGGAGAGCGTTTCCCTATCGGGTTACTTACTTGCCTCATAGACTTGGGGCAGGAAAAATAACCTGAACAGGGCGGAGGTGTCGTTTGCCCGTATGCTTAGAGCTATGGGCAAGGCGACTCGAGTAGTGGATCCTGCGGCAGCTACTGAGGTGTCCCGGATCTCCCTTACATGGCATGGTCGTATCCTTGAGGTACGTACTTTAAACTTTATTTTAACTTTTATTATTTATCACTAGTAGAAAAATACAAAAAGGCACCGAGCCATGTCCACCGGTTTTTAAAAACCGGTGGGGGAAAAAATGGGCGGGAATAGGCTTTTTTAAATTGCCATCGGTTCAAACCAAACCGGTGGCATATGTGTTAAAGGCCACCGGTTTGAACCGGTGGGAATTATCTGTGTTAAACCTAACTCCTGCGGCCGTACTGCTCTTATTTCTCCCTCTTTCCCCTCTTCTTTCTTTCCTTCTTTTCCTCTCTCTCAGTCTCTCACTCTCTCCTCTCTCCTCAATGGCAAAACCAGATCAAACCACTACTTTCTTCTCTCTCTACACCATTTTTATTACCTTCACTAACCTCCATTGTTTCTCATCAATGGCGTCTTCTCCTTGCTCTTCCACCTCCTCTTCCTTTGACGAATTTGACGACGATTCTATTCTCCTAATTCGAAGATGGCGATCCCCAGAAACAAAGTATATTCTATTATTTCCTTTTAATTGTGCACTTTGGATTAATCGATTTTGATTTTTCGTGTTTTCCCCTAATTTTATTGGTGTTATATGTTTTGATTCTATCAATTGAGATCTAGGGTTTCTGGGTTTCTAATAAGATGGGTGATAGATCTAGGTTAGTTGGGTGGTTTAAGGTGTTTGGGTTTGGATTAGGTGGGTTTAGGTGATAATTTTGGTTAGTTGGGTGGGTTCGGGTTAGTGTGGGTTAAGGTGGTCGGTTGGGTGTGTGGGTTTGGATTAGGGACTTAGGGTGGGTCAAGGTGGCCGGTCTGCTGTGTGGGTTCAGTTTGAGGTGGGTTAAGGTTGTGTGTTTTGGTTAAGGTGATGGATCTGGTGGGTTTAGGTGGTTCATGTGGTAGGTTTAGGTGGTGCATGTGGTGGTTAAGGCGGGTTAGTTGGTTAGGCGTGGTGGTTGTGGGGGCTGTTATGTGAATCAAAAATTCAAAGTCTCCATTCCTTGCCTTGTTCTGCCTCGACCTTGAATATCTAAATCGTGGTATGAATCACATAATTTAGTTTTTATAGTGATTTAGATAATCAGATTAATTGTATTAATGGGAAAGCATTTGTTTACTTCTTGTTTCAGAGGTATTGTCACACTGTCCTTGAAAAGGGTTCAGAAGCTGAGTTTTTTTGAAGAGTTGGGTCCTAAAGCAATGTTTGCTTCTGGTAATTTCTGAGTTTAGCTCTATCTTCCAGCATTTGAATTTATGTACTACGTATATGTTTATTTCTCAAGCTTCATAGATGCATCATTTTTGCTCAAATTATAGGCTATTCCACTTCTTTGTTCTTGGTGTGTTAATTGAGGGTGGTGGAATAGGAACGGGATTGGGAGCTGGTCTGTTAGGAGGAGCAATGGTGGAATTGTTCTTGGAGAAGTGATGGATGATGCTTTTGATGTTGATTGTGATTTCTGATTGTGATTCTTTTATTTTATTACTCATTTGCTGAAGATCTATCTTTATATGGTTTAGTTTCAATTTTGTTTTTTTTTCATTGTTAATTTCTGATTGTTCTGGTCCAATGACTTTGGACCTTAGTGTATGTTGCATATATTACTGTATTCGTCCTTTAATTCTATTCCATTGTTCTTGTTAAGTCGTTTATTTGATTTGAGTTTGTTCCATGCTACATATAAATGCTCAATAGTCCACTACATTCCTCTCACATTAATTAATTACAGATTAATTGTTAATACTTTGCAAAGTTTTAATGTAGATGTTCGGTATAATTAATTGAAAACATGGTAAATTATGGAGTAATTTATTTACAACCTAGCTAATACATCATTGATTCCATTCTTAATGGCGTAAAGTAGTTATTGAAATATAATTTTCAACTATTGGAGGAAAAAGCCCCTAAATTTAGTCTTTACTTCAGGTTTGTAAAATTGCACTTATGTTGGGTTTTTCCGTGATGATCAAGCTACTGTGTATAAACTTAGGTCGGTTCCTCACTTATAAGTATATGTGATTAGCTTGTCTTTTATTAGCTTGTCTTAGTTTACGAGAGAAACATTGATTTGAAAGAAAATAATCAATTAAATTTGAGAGACGACTTAAAAAGTTGTCATGGAAAATTTGTTACGATGGATGTTTACAACAATAATAGTAATAATAGTAAGGTGTTGACGAGTTTTATGACATGTTAAAGGTGATACAAGAATCAGGCCGTCAAAACCCCAAGGCGGCTTCCGCGGTGGTCCGTGATGGTGAGCACTACGAAGACATGTTGGCTAATTTACAAAACATGAAGATACCCTTCAGTGGTGAAGAATGCTTCGGACAATACGTGGATTTACACGAGTGCCACAACAGGTTTATTAATTCTAAATTTGGTTGTGATGGCTGTTTTTGTTATTATTATTTTCTATGATTGGCTTTATCATTAGTGCATAACCACTAAGAAGAATATGATAAAATCGACGCATCCATTATATATAAAGGGCACTCATGTAAAATCATGTCATTACTCCTATAAAGGGTTGAAAGTTTTCGGATAATGTGATTAGTGACAACTAATGTGGTCACGTGGACAATCAACTAATTTAGTTGATTAAAGTCTTGAGGGATAAAACTTAAAAACATGAGATCGAATCCCTTCACCATTATAAAGACATCTAGAGAGGTATTTAAGAACAACTTGAATGCTTTTACCTCAAAAAAAAATACAAAAAGAACAACTTGAATGCGATAATTTTCTTATTTAATTGCCCTTTTACTCTGTATATGTCTAACCTTTGAAAGGAAAAAATATTTCTTATATCCAATTCAACTACACTCACTGTTATAGGGTAAGCCGGTATGACTCAATTGTAATTTGTGTGAATCTATGTAAATGCTGTATAGATAGTTTTTGACTGACGTCTTCTCGTGAAAAGAATTTTTAAAGAGAAATTTGTTGTGTTGTTTTGCTTACTACTGCCTAGCGATAATCTTTACTGGAGTTTTTACATTGCTATAACATGTCATGATTGGCAGCTATTTAAAAAGAATTAATGTTTTAGTCTATTTCTGATTCAATTGTGCATGTGTATGTCCATTGTTACACTTTGGGAAATATTTGTTTCTGTGCAAGTTGTTAGTGTAGGACTGATAATAACCAAATCAGCTCGGTCAAAATCCGAATTTAGTGAGCTCGTGTCAAGCTTGGTCTGAGACCGTAATGTACTAAGGCACTAAGCTGTGCACCACTGCACCACTTTGCTAAGCATTGCTCATGAACTGGAATCTATGATTGATTGTTTGAATTTAAAGAGTAGATGAGATATGATTAAAAAAAAAGGATTTTACAAACTGACTATTCTGATCATCCCTCATTTTGAGCTTCTGGCCAGGTGATGCTGTTGTGTGATTATGGTTCTGTTTCTTGTTTCAAAATGACTATTAAGTTCACAAAGTCTAGGGTTGTTTTATTTCAGAGCCATGTACATGCACAAGCACAAGCCTTAGAACGACAAATAGAAAACTCTCATGTTTATTACAATGTACTATTATCTTACTGTCTTTGGTGATAAAATTACGATGTGTAATCGGGTACGATTCTTGTAGCTTTTTACCAGAATGAAGCTAAGGTTGGGAAGGCACTTGCTGAAGCAATTCAAGTTGGGCTTGTCAAAAGGGAGGATCTTTTCATAACCACTAAGGTTAAGTGAGGACAAAATTTCTTATTTTGGGAGGAACTTTGATCATCAGATGACATTTACACTCACTTATCATGTATAATCCTATTGCAGCTGTGGAGCTCTGACCATGGACATGTACATGAAGCGTGCAAAGACAGTTTGAAGCAACTTCGACTTGATTATATGGATCTGTACCTAGTTCACTTACCTGTAGCCATAAAGCGTACTGGTAAAATTCAAATTCTTGCCTCTTGAATGATGAATTGCAATTTTCTTTTGGAAGTGTATGAGATGGACAAAAGCAATATTCATAGAGTCATAGTCTCATACTTGTATATAAAGTATGTAAATGTTCAGGAGCTATGCATGTCTACTTGTCTAGGATTTTACATGAAGACTTTTTTATTAATATCCTTAAGCCAGTAGTTGCTTTGCTCATATACTGACATACTGTATTATATGTTTTGAGTTTTGGCGCTTCAAAGTCACTGAAAAAGCTGATACCGATAATATTCTTCTCTTGTGGATTTCAGAAGATCATGTAGGAATAATGCAAAAATTTGTTTAACTAAGATATGAGGCTGCTTCTGTGCTGGTGTTCCGCTTCTGTGCTGGCGTGCTGCTTCTTATATGCGCTGCTGCTGCTATTCTGCACTTCTGCTACTGTGTAGTTGCATATTTTTTTTTACCTTGTATTTTATTTTAATTTTTTAGACAAAAATCGTAATATTATAGCATTTTTTGTATGAAAATATGTAACTTTATAAATATGTAAGTGTTTATTTATCAATTTAAGTGAAAAAATGCAAAAAAAAAAAAAAAAAAAAAAAATTGTTTTTTGCCATTATTGGCACCGGTTTTGAACAAGAACCGGTGCCAATAACCCCATAAAAAAACCGGGAAAAGTTATTGCCACCGGTTAACCGGTGGCAAAAATATATACTGCCACCAGTTAACCGGTGGCCATACTTGTTTTTGCCACCGGTTTTGAACCAGTGGCTTTGCATCAGACTATTGCCACCCCCCAAATGCCCACCGGTTCAAAATCGGTGGCATAGGGGGGTTTTGAATCGGTGGCCAAATGCTTTTTTCTACTAGTGTATTTTTCTTTTTTTAAAGTCGTTTCTCCTTTGTTTAGGCTTGGGGATACTCGTACCTGCCTTTCCTAGCCCCCCAGGGTGCTCGGGGCTTCTTGCTTTCCTATCGGCCGTCGACTGGCGACGATTAGGAAAAGGCGAGCTACTCGGCGACCCGTGCGTCGGTGAGTATTTTGACAACACATGTGTATCTTTCTTTACATATTATTATTTTGCTTTGATGATTTTCATGTGATTGCATTAGATCGATCTCCGTCCTTGAAGTTTGATCGTCCATGAGGACATCCGGTATGGCATGTTTCGTTGCCGGTTCCGGGCTCTCTACTCGGGACTCCCGGTGCTCCAGAGGACGGACGTTTGGTTTTTAGGCGAGCGTGTTCTCTGGCAACATTCGTCAGAGGAGCCTGTGGTTCCTGTGGATCCTTCGATCCGGATGTTACGTCTGGATTTGCTGTCGACCGAGGATCGAGCTCAAGCGATCCTTGGTTATCCAGCGGATCAGCTGGTGCTGCCGTATGCTCCTTATCCGGCTTTCATTGCATCCAGGCTGACTCCTTTCCTAGCTTTTGTTCCGGTAAGTACCTCAATTCTCTCTTTTTCTTCTTTCTTTTTTTTTTATTTCTATTTATTTTTGGAACTTTGACCCCCCTCCTTTTTTTATTTATTATTATTTTTATTTTTTTAGCGGGTCGAGCTAGGCGATTGGGTGCCTTCTACACTGGAGATCATGTATACCGATGCTGTCGGGTCGGTAATTCGCGAGATCCTTCCAGCAGCGGAGGATGATGAGGGGATACCGTTCATTCCTGAGACGGTTGAGTCGGTATGTCCTTTTTTTTTGTATATGTACTTAAAATATTTCTGTTCTTTTCTTCATATACATTTATTTACTAACTGTCCTTGTATTCTTGGAACAGGTTCCGCGGGAGACCGTGAACGACATGGTGAAGATTATACGTGCTTTCCGAGCTGCTTATCGGAGAGCTCTCATGACTTTGTCATGCCGTGATCATCGGATGATTGCGGTAAGTTTCATTTCTTTTCTTTTTCAAGGAAGTTATTACATTTCATGTATTAATCTTCGTTTTGGGATTTTGGATGATGTACAACATCCGTCTAGAAATCGCAGAGCACCCTGATCCTTTTGTACACATTTTTGTTATATTCTTAGGAAACAAATGTAAATATTAGTTTGTTTTGTTGTAAATATGACACTTTTTTTTTGTATATGTCATTTATATTATTATTATTTTTTGTTTCCATGTGTACAAATATAAAAGAAAAAAGCAAAAAATTTTCGAGGGAGGGAAAGGGTTCCCGACTTATCGCCCTCGAAAAAATAACAAAAAAAAGGAAAATAAGAAAAAAGGAAATAAGGAAAATAGAAAAAAGAAAATAGGGGGAAAAAAAAGAAGAAGGAAAAGAAGAACAAGAAAATAATAAAATAAAATAAAAAAAAGAAAACAAATAAAAAGGAAAGAAAAGGGAAACAAGAGTTAGCAAAAGGCAAGTGTATGATTAGTCTTAAGATTTCGTCAAGATTCCATCATTATATGAGCCAAAATACGGAAACAAACCTAAACCACATGTCGCGACAGAGAAGACGCGCGCAACTTAATGAATTGCGTGCGGCTGTCGCGCGCGGATGTCGCGCGCAACTCATAAGTTGCGCGCGCCAACTTTTTGTGAACTTTCCTTTGGGAAAAAATTGCCGAATATATGCCCCTCTTGGGTCTATGTAAGCACAATTTCATGTAGGCTTTTGATCATCTCGCATTCATTCGCATAGTAATTTTATAAGAACTAAAAGGAATAATCTCTCTAAATTCTTACTCTCTCCCTTTTTTTTTCTTTTTTTTTTAACATTGATCAATGGTGAAGACCTTTGAACAGCGTTTGAAACAATGGGTCACTTCCCTTTCAAACGAGGACAAGCTAGCTTTCAAAATTTATCATCTAGACCCACTATTGAATTATATGCAATTAATGATTAATTTTGATTTCCTTCATGCCGCAGTTAACCATTGGGACTCCAACCACCATCTCTTTTTATTTAAAGGGGACAAAATTATTCCCCTTCCTGGTGAGTTCGAGGCCTTGCTAAGCTTCCGTACAATACTCACCCTGTGACTTATTCGCCCCCATTGTCGGATCCCAAACTTATATTTCAAAGATTTTTCGGCTTGTCCAACAATGATATGACCAATATTGGAACTGAAGAAGGCGTGAATTTAATTCAATTTATTGAACATTTCGTCGCCCCTCGTGACAACATGACTAAAAAACGCTTTAAAATTCGTGCCTTATGCTATTGTCTTGTTGTCAATTTTTTACTTAGGACAAGCAAAGAATATGGAGATTATTCCATGGTGTCCGTAGTAGAGCAAATAGAGGGATGTCATTCACCCGCTCTTTTGGCTTTGGCAGAAACCATTTTATGCTTGAATCGCCTTAGAGGAGACCCTAACGAAAATGGTTTCATTGTAAGTCCACTCCTATTACACGTAAGTTTTTTTTTCGTCGTTTTTTGAGAGCAAGCCATGAAGTTGCGCTGGTACTTCCAGCGCAATCTTTTGTGCTGCGCGCGGATGGCGCGCGCAACTTATTCTTATGCGCGCGCCACCTGCTCGTGTAAAAACTGATTTTTTTTTTCAAATTTGGCTCATGGAGCGTTTGCGAATAGTTGATCAGCCACAAAATATCGAGGCTAATGGAGTACAGACATTCCCTGGACGTCGAATCCTTTACAAGCACAAGAATGAAGAGGAATGAACGTCGTTTTTCTGTCACGGGGTTCCTAACATACGTTTTGTGATTCCTTGGTGGAACATAAATAGTATGGTTGGGAGTAGTCTCAATTTCCCTTACATTAGGCTTTTAGGCCTATCTAGTGCTACTTACATTTTTCTTTGCAGGGTAATGAGACAATACGGGATGAAACAGATTATTCCCCCGCAAGACTGCGATGCACCCAAAGATGTGACTTTTAGACCCGAGCGAATTTTTCGTTGGATAGAGTATTGGTCAAGTCTTCCAAGGTGGGTAGTACAAAATCCTGCTGCGAGTATTGTATTATCTTTCTTTTATAAAGCTTGGATGAATGCGGCGGATAAGGGAGAATTAAACAAGGCCCGATCTCAATATCAAACTGCCACGACACGCAATCCACCTAAGCCTTTAATGCATTCGGCCACCACTACCCCTCCTAGTGGCCTAAACAAAGGAGTGAGAAGAAAATTAGACTTCTTATCTCCTAAGGCGTGTTCGAAGGAATCTAAAAGGAAAGCTCCCTCCAAACCCGCACAAAAAGGTGTGATAATCAAGGAACCTTCCCAACAAACTCGAAAGAGGACTCTAACAAAAGCTTCGGAAAAGGTAAAAAGGGCTGAAAAGGCTCATATTCCTTAATTGGAAAAACAATGTATGGGTCAAGAAGAAGACTGTAGGAGAAAGATCTAAGGTTTCTAAAAATACTGCGATGGAAACTACTCCTTCATCATCCGTGACAATTGAGGATATAGTGAAGCCTTAGAGTGTTACACAATTTCTCTCTCTCTCTCTTTTTTCTAATAAAGTGTAATCACTACTATGCCCCCTTTTCTTTATTTATGATCTAGTTCAACAATGTCTTTTTTTTTTTTTTTTAATTTGAATAAAAATGAGCTTTATGTTTTGATATTTTGATATAATATAGATTGCCTACGTATTCATATCACAAAATCAGGTCATTGCGTAGTTCTAATTCTTTTATTATATATATATATATATACATATATATATATATATATATATATATATATATATATGTATATATATATATATGTATGTATATACATATATATATGTATGTACATATATATATATATGTATATATATAAATATATATATATACATACATACATACATACATATATATATATATATACATACATACATATATATATATATATATATATATATATATATATATACATACATACATACATATATATATATACATACATATATATATATATATATATACATATATATATATATTTCTTTAACTCCTCGGATAGAAATTAAATGAAAAAATTAATCAAACTTTGTTTAAAAAGAATTAAATCAAAGTTTAAATTTTATATTTTCCGAGTACATGTTTATATTCACGAAACGCCCTCCTTTTATCGTAAGTAGAAGTTGCAACTTCGTTCAAACAAAAAAAGTCCAGGTTCGCAGTTTACGATCAGGTGGCGCGCGCAACATCTAAGGTTGCGCGAACCTGTCGCGCGCAACTGAATGAGTTGCGCGTGACATCCGCGCTCAACTATTCCAGTTGCGTGTGACACCTGTACTACGAGTATTTCGAAAAAAAAATTTATTTCTGTGGTATTAACCCCCCCCCCCCCCCCCCCCAAGTGTGAAGATTTTTTTCGTGAAGTTCGATAAAAAATCTGAACACTTCAAACGGTTTATTATTTCTAAATTACCCCCCCAAATGTTATGTATTTTATCGTGTCATTCGGTAAAAAACATAACACTTAGATTCTTTCAATTGAACGCTAATTAAAGTTAGTTGTACGAATGAACGAGTTAATCCGGATTTCATATGTAATATTTCTTAAGTCGATCGATGTTTATTAATTGGAGAATTTCATCTCCTCCAATGTCCATTAATCTGACGGCTCCTCCTGATAGGATTTCAATTACGCGGTAGGGACCTATCCAATTAGGTTTGAATTCCCCTCTTGGATCGGTAGGTGGACCCCTAACCTCTTTTAGTACAAAGTCACCTTCTTTTATATTTTTGGGTTTTACTCTTTTATTGAAATGACGCGCAATGCGCCTTTGGTAGACTTGTACAAGATGCAAAGCTCTTAATCGTCATTCATCGAGAAATAAAAGCTCCTCATACCTCGCTCTTACCTATTCAGCTTCCGGTAGCTTACTTTCTAGTACGATGCGTAGGGATGGTATTTCCAGTTCGATCGGTTGAACTGCGTCCATTCCGAAAACTAAGGAGCATGGAGTTACTCGTATTGATGTTCGTATAGACGTTCTATAACCCCATAGTGAGAAGTGTAGTTTATTCAGCCAGTCTTTATAATTTTCTGCCATTTTCTTAATGATGACTGTTATATTTTTATTTGCCGATTCTACAGTTCCATTCATTTGAGGTTTGTATGGGGATGAGTGATGATGTTTTACTTTATAACGAGTTAAGAGGGTCTCAACTTCAGCTTTGAATTGAGATCCCTGATCACTAATTAATTTATGTGGAACTCTATATCTACAAAATATGTTTTGTTCGAGAAACTTTGCAACATGTTTAGAAGTGATATTCACGTAAGAAGCAACCTCAATCCACTTGATGAAGTAATCGATGGCTACCAATACGTACTCGTGCCCTCTTGCTCCAGTTGGAGAGACTTTTCCAATTATGTCAATTCCCCAAGTTGAAAAGGGCCAAAGGGAAGTGAGATTATATAGTTCTGATGGTGGAAGGTGTTGTAAATTAGCAAACATTTGGCACTCTGGACATTTTTTGACATATTGTATGCAATCATGTTCCATAGTGGACTAATAGTACCCTTGTCGCGAAATTATTTTGCAAGCATTTTACCATTCATGTGAGTATTCTGCATAAGGCGTGTGGTTTCGCGTTGGTCTATACACAATAAACTTTGACCATTAGGTCCTTTTTTGCATAATTGACCATTTAATAGAACGTATTGAGCCGCAAGTGTTCATAAGGCTCGTTGGTCTTTCGATGAAGTATTTTCGGGATATGTGCCATGAGTAATATATTGGAGGATATGATCATACCAAGGATTTTTCCCTTCAATGTCATTTATTTCCTCCATTGCGTTGCAATATGATGGTTCTTCTCTTCTATCAACGCATAATGACATCATATTCAAGTGATCTGAAATGTTGATCATTGAGGCTAATTTTGCTAGCGCATCGGCAAATTGATTATCATCCCTTAGGAGATATTTAAAGTCAAGATGTTCAAAGTGCTTGACGAGTTGCTCTAGGTGTGCTTGGTATAATATCATTGTGGAGTTCTTTATTTTCCATTTTTTCAGTATATGATTTATAATCAAACTGGAAGCTCCATATACCTCTAATTTTTGCACATCTATGTTAGCTGCTGCTTCCAATCCAATAATGCACGCTTCACATTCTGTGGCATTATTAATAACCATAAAGTCTAGTTTGACAAAATTTGAAGTATGTGCTCCCTC